GGCAGAAAGCTTTGCTCTTTTGTACCTCTTATTAAATACAGCTGTACTACTGCAGGCCTATTTCACCCCCATTAAATACTTCCCTGAGCACATTTAATAACAAACTGTTGAGGAAAAAGCAATGTGCATCAAAAGAATCAGCTTCATATCCTCACAGTCAGAGGCTGCTATCACATAAAGACCAACCTCTCAGGTGTCCTCCTTCAGAAAGTKACTTGAGGCTATTCCCTTTGTTTTCTATTCCAGAAGTTTCTAGATCTCAGTGAACATATTTCAGCACCCATTTCATGCCCCAAAGCAAGAGTACCTCACTTGGCAATCTGAACAAATGACATTTTAAAAAATACTAAAATTCACAGCATTCAGCTGCCTGCAAATATCATGCTTCATCCTGTAGTTGCAAGTGTAGCAACACAAACACCTGACTTTGTTACCTTCAAGTCCATCAATTATTTAGGAAAAATTCCTTTCCAGAGAGACTCAAATATCAATTATTTAGTCTTTGAGCAGGAAACAAAAACTATTAAAAGAGGAAAAAAGATTTCCGTGAAGAGCTGTTGGGCCACATGAACATATTTCAGGTTGTACACTAACAATCGGCCTGAAACAGAATGAGAACATCAAAATAAAACAACATCTAAAGTCAACAGCTCACATGAATGCACAAGCTCGTCAAGTGCCTGAGCTAATTAGTGCCAAAGAGCCCCAACTACATCGGGGTGTTTCAGTACAGATCTTCACATGGAAGACCTCTATCAGCTTGGTGTAAATGCCTGTTCTCTAGACTGGGAGCATAAAACAGAGAGGAGCTCTTTTATAATAACACAGAAGCTCTTTTACAACACCAAGACAACATTGAACAATGCTTCCTACAAAGATCAAGGGGAAGCAGAGCCCTGTGTTTATTATACCCTTGCCTTTCCCACTCACGTTCAGATTACAGATGAAGACAGGCCTAAGACTTTTCACTTTTTGCACAGACTTCTAAAGACAATGACACAGAGCTCTGAGAAAAAACACATGTAAGCAGGAAACCCAGATAAGAACAGAAGTTCTCCCACTCACAAATATCAYACATGAGCTGTACTACAATGAAAAGGATAAATCACTGTTGCTGTGCACCCAGAGAGTTGAAGAAAGACAGGAAACACTGAAACAAAACAAGTGCTGGTTCCCCACTGCCAAACAGGGGCTGAGGCRTACTTTGAACCAGAAAGGAAAATAAACTTATTTTTAAATCCAGCTATTACCTCTGGGTTTGGATATAGTTCCTATTGTGGCCAGCATATTTTATCTTCATTTGTTAAAAGTTTTCTGCACAAGTGATAACAGAATTCACACATGAATAATCAAGCAGAGTGAAACCCTCTCTGAGGGTTTCAATTCTAAGATTTACATCAGATTGGCAAAAAAGGTTAGCAAAAACCTGGCCATTCCAGGCAGCGGTTTTAACTGCAAACATCACAATCCTTTATATACCCAGTTTTGCAGGTGATCACCACTTTTGCAGGTGATCCTCAACACCTGCACTTTGCTATTATCCTCACCTGTGACATTCCTAAAACAGACAAATTTACCCAACAGTGATTTTCAGCTCACTGACCATCTGAAAGCAGATTCTATCTGCAATAAAGTTGCTTTATGATGCAAAAAAAATTCAAACATGAGACATTCATCCATACTTAAATAGTTAAATTTCATTTAACTACTTTCAGACATTTCAGCCCCTTCCTTTCTTTTTAGATTGCTAAATCGAAATTCAGTTTTCTGTCTTCTTGGGAGGAAGCAAACTATTCCTCTTTAAAACACACACATATCTAACCTTGATAAGCTTTAATCTGATTATGCCTGACATTGTTCTTAACCTTCAGGCTTTTGTCTGAGCATGAGCCAAAGGGTCAAAGAGAAGGCTCCTGTTCCTGCCCAAACTGTGCCTGCAGCATCAGTACCTCCACCCAAGCCATCACCAGCAGAGCTTTGGAAGAGCCACAGACTTTAGGACTGGGCAATACCAGTGATGAAGACACATGATCATCCTTTGGACRTACAATCAGAGCCATCTAGAAACCTCTGCTTAATTCCACTTTAGTAACAGCCTGCACCATTTACTGTTTGAGGGTCTGATTCACTTTATCTGAGCTACTACAGCTTAAAGCAAAGTGAGAACCACAGCACTTGCAAGGATTTTGTGAATTGCAGCCCTCTAAGCCTTAGAAAAGCTCTACAGGTGGCAAAGGACAAAAGTCTGTTCCACCCTAAAACAGGAAGTTTTTACACAGGAAGCCACAGTGCAAAGCAGCATGGCATGAAGACCCCTCAAGCAGAGTGTATCTGAAATCCACGTGTTTTCCACACCCCACCCATGTGAAAATTTTTGTAAAAGCAAGAAATTACATAAAGAGAGGATCTATGGAACAGTTTTCAAATTAGGCCCTGTGAACTCCACCTCCCCCCTACCCCAACGAGAATTCTAAACATAGTGAGATTAAAACAAGAGKTTCATTTATTCGCACTTATCTGTGCTCAAACTGTGCAACACCTGATCCTAATGATATCCTTGATAAGCTATGAGAATTAACTGTAGAAATTTGTCAGCAGAAACAAACACCCATTTACAGGTAATGGCCCACTGGTAGCCATCCAATAGAGCTTCATAAACTAAATACAAATACCCTCTAAGAAAGTCAGAAGTCAACCTCAAAAATAAGCAATCCAATGGATTAATATTCCTCTGTTATTAATTAGAAGCAAGCATACAACTTAAACTTACTCATCACGCGGATATAACCAAATTCAGAAAACACCACGTCAACCATTTTCTTGCTACATCCAAGAGCAAAGAGTTATGCCTTCAATACCAAAGAAAGTGTCCAAATCAAATAGCCTCTCAGGGCTCAGAGCAAGGGCTTTTTATAGTCTTTTCATTGAGTATTGCAAAGCTTAATGTTAGCAAAATGTAGCCCAGGACACATCCCCTTACAGTCCTGTGAGGTATACTACCTATGTGAAGGATCTGTACAGAMACTGCTCCTAGCAAAAGATTGATACTTTTTCCTTCTTTTCTGCTACCCTCCCCACTCCCCACAAGGAGGCAAGAAGGACAGGAAAGGGGCTTTAAACAGGAAACAGTAAGATTAAATTTTTCTACAATGCACTAAATGTCAGGCAAAGCCTGTACCCAGAAACAAGAACAAGACACAATTAAGACTTAAGTGAGTTTTTTTTCTGATTTGGGGGCTGGACATAATACTTCAACACAAAGGAAGCTAGAAAGGAAGCTAACTGGATCAACTTACACAAAAAAAAAAAAAAAAAAAAAAAAAGAAACCCACCAAAAAAACCCCAACAAACCACACAGAACACGCACCAACCAGAAAAGCAGCTTTCCATGATTGTGATTTAGACCCAGACTGCACCTTTAGGAAGTCCATCTGGGAGCAAGACCAACAAAAGTAAAACTAAATACCACCCATGTCATTTATCTGCACATTGTTCTTCCAGTATAAATGCATTTCCAAACTTTTTAAAAGCTATTTGTAAAAATTCCTGTTTCAGTGGAACTACAGTTCTGAATGAGACAATCTTCCAAGGAAAGGCAACAACATATACTCTTCCCTCCCCATCCTCCAGAGCTAAAAGGACACAGGATCACACCCTAAAAGTACTGTCTGCCAGTATCATTAGCCAAGGATAAAGAACACCATTCCACCAATACAAATGTCCTGAATTCCCTTAAAAAAAACAAACCCACACAAACAAAAACCAAAAGCTGCAAAGTAGTTTCTGCCACAGCTCATTCCTGCTTCACACCAATGCCTAAAGCTGAATTCCCACCTGATCCCTTCCCTCTGCACACAATTGTKCTGTCAAGCATATAAAGCTAGCACCTCAACCCTCTGCACCAAAGCATTTCAAGCAAGTTTCACACATTTATTGTGAATATAAAGTGTCTCAGTATTGATGCCTTACTCCCTGCTGGAGCCAAGAAGTTAGATCATCTCACCAGAGAGCACTTACAAGCACTTAAGATACACCCTGTGCTTCCATTCTCCAGGAACTGCTTTCCTTCCATTTTATCTGGAGTTCTAGGTGACAAGGCTTATGTCACTGTAACAAACAAAAGCCCAAACAAACAAAAAAGCAGTGCTGGAAGAATCTTGTCTGCCCGTTATTTTAAAATATCCTTTCCTCCTCCACCACCACCTCCGTGGAAGACCTACTAAAGAAAGATCAAACAAGTAGCTTCTTTTACAGCATGGTTTAGGTTTCTTTGTAGGGGACTATTTATTTCTTCATTCAGTCTGTCTCAAAATGAAACCGCTAAGTCTACAAAGTGTGAGGAAGAGAAAGCAAGAGCCAAAACAAAACTGACCAGAGATGGAGCATCACTTCTGATACCCCCGTGCTCCAGGGCCAGGCCTGTTTCAGCAGGACGCTGRAAGGGTGGCACAGAGGTCACTCACTACCATAGCCCACAGCAAAACTAAGTTAAAATATTTTTTAAAATAAGCTACAGGCCTCAATCCTTACACCCTTACACCCTATGCACGCCGTTGCTCCCTCTAAACAGCCTGGGCTCAGGGCAGGGTCTGGCAGCAGCCGGAGCGACGGGGGTGAACGGAGCAGGCAAACTCTGGCTRCAACACTCCGAAAGGCCTTTTTGTATTATTTTTWAATTATTTTTAWTTTTTCTCCCTCGTGGCACCTCAGCGAGACAAGCCAGCGCGAACTCCCGGAGGAAGCCTGACCCGGCCTCTCGGGCTTCCTTTAATGGACAGGGACAATGGCAGGGGCTCGCCACAGCCCCGCGCTGCCGGGAAACTTGGGCAGCCACAGGGCTGCTCCCCGCCCGGCTCGGCAGCCCCCAGGGCACGCTGCAAGGAGAGGGGGTGCTCCGGGGAGAGGGGCTGCCGGCGCTTCCAGACGGGGAGAGAACGGGGCACTGCGGCCGGCGCGACCCCCGGGGCAGCAGGGACGGGCRGGGGCGGGCAGGGACTCACCGGGGCAGCAGCCTGCTCGCTAAGTTTCGCCGAGTTGGGCGGAGGGCGAGGCGGCGGCCGGCGTAAGCGAGGGTGTCTCCGCTGCCTCGGCTAGTCCATGGACACGGCGGCGCTGCCGGACCGTCCTCCCCGCGTCAGCTCGGCCGGTGTGCCAGCCGTGCCCCCGTGCCTGAGCCGAGCCCCGCCGCTCTCCCGCCGGCCCGCCGAGGCAGCACGGAAATGGATCGTCCCCGGCCACGCCCGCTCCCGCACGCAGTCGTGCTCCACACAAAGGGGGCGTGCAGGAAGCTCAGCTCTGCCTCCAGACCCCTTGGCTCCCCCCGCTGTGACTCCCTGGCAGGCGTTCCCCGAGCACCCCCGGGGCCGGGCGGAGCTGCGGGCTCCAGCGGCCTCCGCCCCGCGGCGGGTGGGAGCGGCCGCCCCTCACGGTGCCTCCCCCGCAGCCCTGGCGCGGCTCGGCTCCGGGGAGAGCGCGGCCCCTCGGCCAGGCCCGCGGCTTTGTTATCTCGGACTGCTTGTGTGGCCGGGCTGGCCGCGTCCYTCTCCCCGGCTGAGGGAGCAGGCACAGCCCTCCGCGGCGCCTCTCGCCCCCTCAGGGCTTGCGGAACATGGAGCGGCGTGTCGCACCACGGCACATGCCGAGTGAGATTGAAGGCACGGCCGAGCCTCCCTGGAAAGCCAGAAGGCGAACGGAAAACATAAAGTAAAACGACCCCGAAGAGTGTTTTGAGTCTTCAGGCGTCCTAGGGCTTTTACACCTCCCGTGAGAAGTGCTAAGAAGAGAGGAAGGAGGGGAAGGGAGGGCTGAGCTGATTGAACCCATGTGGTTTGCATTTCTAGCTCACACCTGAGGCAGCCAGCTCCTGGCAGGTGGAAATGCTCCCCTGCCGTCTGCCTTGGCTCCCACCCTTCACACCTGTTCCCCTTCCATACTGTGCGGCCTTTCTTAGACACAGGGAAACTCTTCTGTCACCTCCATTCTTCTCATATACAGAGCAAAACTTCAGTGCCTCACTAGCCACGAAAATACATTTGTGTGCAGGAAGGCAAGCCCAAGATGGGTAGTGGAGCACCACGCGTGTTTTTGCAGGGTATGTTGTCTGCACTTTCTTCATCTGCTCCAGTCCTTGGACTTCGAGGAATTCTTTATTCCCTCTGAATTAGGACAAGCCCGCTCACAAAGACAGCAGCAATCCCATTGAAGTGAAAGAAACTGTTGAGCAATCCAATGGTGTGAGCCTAGCCCTTCTCTGGTGTGCTAGTTCTCCACTCATCAAAGCTGACAGCAAAAAGCATGTTAATAATTAATAAAATTAATAGTAAATGCACACTTCCCCTCACCCACACCCTTCTGATGTCTGAGAAAGTAGATACTCACGAGTGTGTCACCCACTGACCAGTTACATCAAGATTGCTGCTCATTTCCTGCATGCAGTTATTTAAGTAAATAGGGGGTTAGGTTTGTTTTGGCTTTTTGTTTGGGTTTTTTTTTTTTTTTTTTTTTTTTTTTTTTTTTTTTTTTTTTTTTTTTTTTTTTTAAGGGCAGGTAGTATTTGCCAGTTTTTTTTTTTTTTTTTTAAGGGCAGGTAGTATTTGCCAGGCTCTCCCAACCTTGCTCAGGACTTCTTAGAAACCAAAGTAAAATTGAACTCAGTGTTAAAGCTGACAGAAGATGCTAGAAGAAATACATGAATTTGGGGCAGAATCTAAGAGGGGAAGGGGAGCTTGCAAAGGTCACTGGATTATTAGATGGTAAAAGGAACTAGAAGAGTTCCTTTCTCCGTTTCAAAAGTACTGAAGTGGTGTCACAGAGCACTGAGTCACATCTTCAGAAAATCCAGAGCCTAGGCAGAAAACATTAGTGTGCAGATTCTGTAAGAGATAGGAAGATGGTGCAATAGCAACTGCTAAGATTCAACAGGGAAAATGGGAAATTTCAGGGAAATTCAGCAGCTTTAGGATGTAAGGACTATRGAATTGGGAAGAGCATTTGTCGATAAAATAAGGTTCTCTTGCAATTTACCATTTATAAAATGGTTAGTGTTGGCAGTTCACAGCGTTGTTGAATTGACTGTGTTCACTGTTAGCGTGGCGACAGTTCCAACAACCTCTCTGTGTCCCATTTATTTGCCTTTGACATTATCTCTGCACAGTGCTTCACTGTGTTGCCAAGAAAACTAGAGTAAAAATCTCATCCATCACAGAAACCATTAACTAAGTGCTAGGGCAAATTGGAGCACTTTTAAAAGACCATCACTTCAGCAGCAAGAGGGTGTAATAATCCTGCAGGAAGGAAAACGGGAAATCTGATTTTTTTAATGAACATGTGCAGCCCAATATTCATGTATGGTTTGTCAATGCTTTTTTTCCTCTGACTACTGCAAAACATTTTCTGAAATTAATGAATTCATCATGAGAAATAGCTGGTGGAAAATAGCCTGACCAGAGCTGTTTACCGCTGCATGTATTCAACACCATCGCCAAACACCATTTTTCAGCGTAAAAAAAAAAAAAAAGTCTATTTATGGAGGGAGGCTTCCGGAAATCCGAATTACAGTTGGAATTGTCAAGTGGTTTTTGAAAATTATGAGTTTAAAAGAGAGGGGTGTGCAAGGAAACAAAGCCCAAAGAAATGCTATGACACCTCAAGCAGCTTTAAATACGAAAAAATCAGTAGCTGGGTCTAAAAGAGAAAGCAGAAATGTTTCAGGGAAAGCCATTATCACATGTTCTAGATCGATTAGAAGTCTGATAAACCAGATGGAACTAGTCAGATACCCAATAAAATTCGAGGGGATTAGGTTGAATCAGCGATTTAAATTTGCCCGCCGTCCCACGGCGCTTTCCCCCGTCCCCCTGCTGTTAGCAGCGGCTGCTGCACCTCTCTGCTCCGGTCCCCTCGATGGCCCCTGGCAGTCCATGCGACAAAGGCAGCCACGCACACACCGCCGGCATCGGAAATCAGCATCACAAAAACATAATAGGGTCAGTTTTGTAGGTATTTCAGTGAGTCTGTTAATTTATTCCCTGCCCAGGCACTTAGGAATGTCTATACACCGCACACTGGGTCAGTCAATACCGTATACCCTTCCTTCTCCCAAGTTTCTTATTTTTGAAAGGAAAACGTCCATACAAGTGAAAAGGTCTCAGGAGTCGGTGTCTTTTCCAACAGCTTTCTTCCAGCCGAATCGGGCTCTGCAGCAGTCTGTTCTTGGAAKCTGTTAAGCAAATTTTCTGCTGCAGGAACCGCTCGGGTTCACCGCCCACCTGCATTTTGGCTGGGTAGCAGTGACATCCAGCGGTGCGGAGGGAAAGAGAAACTTGCTCATTCTTTTTTCTACCACAGTGCATCACAGAAACGCACCACAAAATGGCAGGGATCCCTTGGTGTTCCCGTCTCGTGTTGGGCATTCGCAAATGGCACCAAGAGTAGGCGATCTGACAGCCGTGGGAACAGATAACCCACATGAGGAAACAAAAATGCAGAACCAAAAATACCCTTTGGGGCAGACCATCTTTCTTATGGCCCTAAAAGGACATTGCAAATAGAAAATGCAAATGGTGATCCCTAAAGTTCAAATAAAAAGCACTTTCCTGTATTACACCTACACCATTAACCTCACAGCAGTTTAATTCTTAAATATTTTTTATTACCCCTAGTTATGTGTTGAAAAAAAGATAAATTAAAGTTGAATTAAATTACTACAGCAGAGTTTTGTTTCTCAAGCCRTATCCTTGCACTTTGTGCACTTTTCTACTGACCTAATCCATCTCCAACCCTAAAGATGAAAATAGAGTMTCATACTGCAGAGATGCAAAATGTMCATTAGGAAAACAACMAACCTTTTAATTAATAGAGTTTCCAGTAACCAGCTGAATGTTGAACTGTGATGGGATATTTGATGCACTGAGAAGTGATTTAGATTTTGGCTACATGGCGTGTTAAAAGAAAAAAAAAAATCAAAACATTAAATGCATACAAGGAACCGGGCCACCAGAGGTAGCTGTTGGCACAACAAAATCAACAACTGTAATTTCTTTTCAATGAGCATTCTAAGTTCTGTCGTCTGCAGTAYTGGAAATTGACTTAGATTTCATTTGTTCTTCCTTTACTATTTTGTTATAATTTAAGTTATTTTGGACTGTGCATTTCCAAKGGTTATTAACTGCTCCTAGCTGCTAGGCACCACCTTATTTTCTATCCKTCCCATTTTTATTTTGTCAACATGTGGTTCAGAAAGGATGAGTCAACTCCAAATAATCCCAAAGTTGGCTTGAAAAAAAATAATCAGATTTATCAATAATCATTTTTCAGAACACTTTCAAATGTCATTCCGACCTTCCAAGGCCTCCACATTTTGACTTGATTTCTGAAAGACAGGGTTAGAAAACTTTGAAATGCAGGTAAGCTTATGTAAATTTCAAATTCAGAAGTGCACAAACTGTTTATGGGAACTGTTTAGAGCAGGAAAAGACCTCAGTCTGACATGGTTACTTTATACATGCTTCTGGGGAACCTGCCAGAGCAGAGAACTTTCAGTTTCTATGAGTACTTTAATAGTCAAAACACTTAGTGGGTCTTTGTAGAAATGTTTTTACACTACAGGAACACTTCAGCATGTTTAGCGTTAGTGATTTATATGTTTGACAGACATTATACTGCCAATAAACATTCTAAATGTTTGACAACACAACTTCCTCCTGTTTCCAGTCCCCTTGGGCAGGGTAAGAGCAGAGCTGCAACCCCGTGGCATCCTTATCATCACCTAGGGCTCCCTGCAGTCTGACTGACAGAATGGGCACCCAGCTTTGACAGACTGGGTGGAATTCTATGTTGCACAATATKGTAAGATGCTCTGGAGATTCAGCAGGTTTTACAGGCATGCCACTTTATCTTCAATTTCTTGGAATTTATCTAGCTTCCATYCCATTCTCCAAGGACTATTTATGCTTTTCACATTTCATGTTTAAGTGAAATGCATAAACAGCCCTTGGGACAAGGCCTGAAATGCAGGTCAAAGATCAGTACCTCCTTTGCTGGTCTTTGTGCAAGATCCATTCTCTGCACATGACAAAGCTTTCTAGCTCCCATGGGAAAGAAAACTCWGAACTCTCCTCAGAATACTCCTACTGTAAGATCTTTGTTGCTCGTAGCATCTTGCAGCTGTACGAAACCGTAGCTCACACCCATTTCTTTTAGCATCTCTTGTGTTTCCTACCACTCGCACTCCCAAATATCCACACCCCTGCTGCAGACAAGTGCACACTTACACAATGCTTTGAACCTTTTAGGGGCCTTGTGTCAGCACAAGATAACCAGTACAGCTTTTCAGCAGTAAAATCCAGGAAAAGAATCCCTAAAGCACAATTCTTTATTTCATGGAGCAGCCTGGCTGCTGTGGATGCCATTCAGAAGCGCCCATCTCCAGCCAGGCATTTTATGTCTTTGAGAATTCAAGAGCATTTATGGGCATGGCTCTGAGGGGAGCCTTTATAGAGGTAGTCCATATCAAAAAGTCAATTTGCTGTAGACTTTGCTGCTCTACTCTCCAAATCCTGTTCCTTCTTCYACCCCCAAAACAATAAAACACAGATTTCAGCTAATAGTAGCATACACAAATACAATTTCTGTTTAGTTTCCAAATGAAACATATGAATCACTGAAAATCCTCACTGCTAGTGTTCTTCACAGTTTCTGGGAACTGTGAAGAATAGACTCTGAAGAGTATATCAATATTTGTGATTAAAATCAGTTTTACCTGGACATAAATACTAACAAAAAAAAGGTCAGGATTTCATCCAAAATGATACAATTTTTTTAGAAGAATCTTAAACACAGAAAGGAACCTGCCCTCATGCCGTAATTATCTCCCTGGTAGGGAATCACATGGAGCCAGAAGATCTAGAGCCAACAGTTAACTAACAGGAAACTCATTGTGCAGACGGAGTGGCATGTCTTGAATGCAAAATCTCAGAATTATTTAGACCAATAAGAGGCAGTCTTCTAAAAATACAGATGTGTTTACATGACAATGAAAAAGCAAAAACCAAAGACATGTCATTTATATAAACTTTTATTGTCTTTTCCCCTCAGCAGGWACTCCACTACTGCAGCCTCAGCAGTGTTTTGTTTCCGTAGGTAGACAGGTTTTCAACCGACTGTCTCTGACTGAAAACATCTAGGCTAGGTCAGATTTTAGACCCAGCCTTTCATTAATACAGTCAGACACAAAGGATCATTTGAAATCCTGACCACCTGGAAGGCTGCAAAGGAACAAAAAAACAATTCAAGAGGATTTTCATMATTTTCTATGTTTGAATAGAGAACYTTTCCKGTGYACTGATCACTAAATAGTTAAGCAATTAAACTGCACACTCAAGACATGGATGCATTCTACATTTCAAGCTGTAATCAGAAACAYGTGCAACTGTTTTTCCACTTATGAAGCTTGTGGTTTTATCTTCTCAGCAGCTTCAAGGACAGCTGGAAGGCTGACTTTGTCTCCAAATTCTTTCTCACGATGCTCCAGTAAAATACCCTAGTCAAARACACAAAAGAGAAATTGAGACACATCTTCCTACAAAGAGATTCACTGCCCAACTGAACAATTCCAGGAAATAAATTKCTGATCTTATATAAGGCATAAAAGCCTCCTAGATGGCCTGCAGTACCTGGCTTCCTGCTCCAACCACATATACGCCTCCCAGGGTGAATCCTTCTCCTTCCAGATTTCCACTATATCCACTTCTCCAAGCACGGAAGAAATTCTGCCAAACTCCCAAGCGGAACAGGCCGGACAGCATCATTTTYCGTCTGCGTGGACCATAAAAGCCTTTCTGCAGGGGAACAGAAAATATGTCAGCAAACAAAGTGAAAAAGACTTTTCATTCATGTGGGTTTTAAGCTCATCCATGAGTATTAAAGCTCTACATACACCAACATCCCTATTGCTGACAAGCACAGTGCTTTGTGATAAACATATTTTTTGGTTGGTTCGTTGCTGCGGTTGTTTTTAAATTCAGGCTGGTTCTTTCYCACAGGCAGAGGGAGGAGAGAAAATTAAGGGATCTTCTAGTTGATTTTGAATATTGCACATTCTTTTTTCTTCAGAAGACAGAAATCAGAAATKATTTTTAAATGTGTTTTCTGGTTTAGGGAGAAAGCAGGGCTGTGATTTTGCAGGACATGAGATTGGCAATACAGCACRTGCCCGTGCACTGGGACAAGCCATATCACTGCAATTTGGCCTGTACAACATGAATTAATTATATCTGTCACCTTCAAACCATGATTCACACATCATAAACATCAGCATGTGGAAGAAAGGAATACATATTAACAGGCTACACTGTTTACCTGTTAAAGGGCAGGAATAATCCTGCAACAACACATTATCAGTGCACAGCTACACAGCAGCTGGTAAGCTCAGCAGGATGTATATATATAGAATAAAAAAGCCAATTAACTTCTTAAACTWCTAAATCCTTTTTCATTCAGACTACATTCTACTTCAAAGCTCTTCAAAGAGGGCATTCATAGGTTTCTTTTTAAACAAAAGGAGAACACCAACTTCACTATACCTTTTCATCCAGAAAGATTTCTCCTTTGAAATAATGCTGAAAATCCTCCACTTCAGTCCCTATCTTCTCYTTCACAACAGCATAGAGAGGGACACCCAGCTTGGACAGCTGGGGTTTCAGAGAGGAAAGCTCAGAAGCCTCCTAAGCAAAGGGAAAAAAGCCCAAACATTTCAGTCAATAAAAGGAGGTTGGAAAGCTTCACCTTGAAATTCAAGACCATCAGAAAGACATGAATGCTAGCTGGAGGCACAAACCACAAATAGACCCGTAACATTTAAGCTAGCTGTACTCCTAGGCACAAGGGCAAGCATTCCAAGACCCAAGTAAGTAATGGAGTGAAGCTGCACTCTCCTTCCTAAAKCACACAGTAACACTAATCAGGGGATTTCTTCATAGACTTTGAGTATCCCAGAAGCAATACTGCTTTTTCTGGTGTAAGAGTATATGGTGTCACCACAGATTTGCTGGGTTTTTTGTTCTCCTAAAGGAATCCCAATTCCCAGCATTTGTACAAAGATTCCTAAGGTTTTGAACAGATCTGAGTGTGCACTGCAAATATGTTACCTGTCTCCCATGGAGAAAGGTCATTTTTACTGGACAAAATTCCYATCAAAAAACCCAACTCCACACTTTAAAAACATGGACACAGTTTACACGATCACTGTTAGTCACCTAACTGAAATACCTTAACTGAAAGGCTTGAAAGACATCTAGAATTTACTAAGTACCAAGTAGCAAATAGATGGGGATTAACAGACAGGAAAATTTGAAATTTGAATTACACTTTTTTTTTTTAAAATCACTCATGGATTCCTGACTGGCTGTATGTGAAAGTCAGAGTCAAGCACATAAGCGCATTCTCCTGCCCACACTATACCTGTTCAGAGAGCAAAGCGCTTTAATCTCTAACCTTCCATGAACTCTACATGTAYTTAAGCAGTTACTGCTGATGGGAGCAGACACCTTAATGAAATGGTAACAATATTAATTACTCCATGTTATAGAGCAGTGAGTAAGAACACAATAACAGTATTTCCCTATGGCTGTGAGAAACATAATGTCTGAAGTGCAAACTACACTGTTTTCCCAAGCGCTTGGTACAATCAAATGTTCCCAGGGACTCGGTACATTCAAATCATATTTTAGGTGTCTCCTTCTAAGGAGCTCCACCCAAGGAGCCTAATGTCAGCTTCAGGATCAACATTTGTTTTCCAGCTCACTTGCTATGGAACAGTAACTCCTTATCTCCAGAGTCTGTACCTTTCTGCATCACAATCAGCATCCAGAACAGAGTGACTCTCTCTGTGCACACCTCTTTTTTTGCTGATGAGCTTTATCTGATGGCTTTCTGCCAATCCARTCTTGGGCTGTATTTGAGCAGAGACTACCTGGCTCACAGAGATTAATTAAACCTATATGTATATACATATATATATATACATTTATATATAACTAGCTCATGACACCAATTGGATTTTGTGCAATTTCCCTTTCCAATTACCATGAGCTAGGTCCGTGGCAGACATAAAAATGATGTAACCATCACCTTCAGGAAGAAAATGTTCAGAACCTGGACCATACAAACCAGCTACAAAGGAAACTAAGTATGATGTTAGCTGGTGATCAGTTTGAACTTTCAGATGTTTTAGATTTATCTGATGACTGTCCTATTCATCTCCTCCCTTTATTCACAGAAGATCTACACAAATAGACCCCAACTATTCTTAATTAATCCCCAGGTTTAGCAAGTACCTCTCTACACAAAAATCATCCAGGTCTTCGTACAGCCATGATCACTGCACCATTCTTCTCCCATAGTTCACTTGCCTTGAATGTCCTTTGTTCTGTTTGTGCAGGAGAAACAACATCGATAATAATATCAGCCACTCTCGTTTATAATGATTAATACTTTATGGACCAACACAAAGCACTGCAGAGAATTTCACATTCAAATACAGTTCTAACAGGAGAAAAAAAAATCTATATGTATAAGAGTATATTATCGCATTATTGCTTTTTAGAAGTGTGTCTTGTTTAATCCAGAAATAACAGTTTTGGTTGCTTTTCCTTCACCAGAAGYACTGGATATCAAGGACACTCAACTRCATGTCATAACTAGGAAAGACTAAGGAAACCATTTCCAACCCCGGCTTTACAAAGGTTCTTATAAAAGTCCAATTCTTGAAGGAGGTGGTCTGAAATAGCCAGAATCTTACCTGATCCCAAAGTTTTTAGCTCTATCTCCTCTAAAAACTCCAGGGTAGCCTTTTCTGGCTTGGACAAAAACAAGTCAGTGTTAGCAAGGACGATGCCCGTCACAGCCGCACCAATGGCTCCAAGGCCAACAGACCACATACCCATGGTGAAGGTCCCCAAGTCGGGCAGGAAGGACATTTCTGRAAAGAGAAAGAAAGCACAGCTCTGACACTGAACATCAATGATGCCAGAGAAGGAGGAATTGGACTGAAACAACTAAAAGCTCATGCAGGTATTTTTGGTTTGATGGAGATGATCTGTGTATTTATTATTATACTGAAATGGGTTTTAAAAGATAGAGATTACATTCCAGTTCTGTGCCTGACCCACGCCAAAACTAGATATTAACAAGATATTCTTATCCTTCCCTGCCAGACTGACAAAATATTTACTAAAAAAAAGAAATAAATCTAAACCTGTCACATCTGGTTCCTCATAACTGGTGACCTTTCACATTCCTTACAGTTCCCCACCAAAACCAAAGCAGGCAGCAAGCCAAACTTAGASCTCATGCCCGCAGACAGAAAAATGTAGACTTGCAACCGTTTTATTACCCAGTGATCCAACATTACAAATGTGCCTGGAACAGCCCCTTGTTCCCCTGTGCTAACTCTCTGCCACTCTTGCTAAAGCAGCAAGGCCAGCAGGAACCAACAGCCTGAACTTACACCCCTCAGTTAGAACTGATAGCATTGCAGAGACAACCATTACTGACGAACGTTCCGGTGTTAAACTACAAACCCTGATTGTGGTTACTGCTAGCTCGAATAAGGTGGCAATTTTGTTTAACCACCTTCCACCCACAACCCCCCACAGCCCGACCCTGACCCTTGCAAGTGTTTCACAAGCCTGGGAAAGGCTGACAGGCACCTTCCAGTGAGGCASTATCAGCTGAGGAGGATACTGGAAATCACACTTAGCCCTGCCTCGTGRACAAAGTTCAACATCCAGCTGTGAGTAAGAACTGGTACAAGAGYCACTGCAATTTTGGCAGAGTAAGAAGTCACTCCACACTTACATCACAAGGGCTGTTGAATTGTACTCAGGTAATTGTAGCATTACACATTATGGAGAATCAATTTTTTTTCACAAAAATCCTATTTCCTGATTGAATATTTTGGTAAATATTGTTGTCTATGTATACTTTTGTATGGGCAAGGTTCCCACCCCAACAAATATAAGAAAAWATGACTCTTTTGAACTGTGACTGACACTAAACCAGACATACCTATCATCTTTATCCCCACAGCTAGCTGTTGCCACAATTCAGAAACAATTAGGAGTAGCTCCTCACTTTTGTGTTCAAAGTTTTCTCTGAGTAAATCCCTTCCTGCTCCAGAATACTACTGACAAACAAATATAACATTAGGGGAAAAACATCACCTTGTTCTTTTAACAGCATACTTGGTTTCAAGGAAGACGGTATCATGGTATCCAGAAACGTAAGTAAACCATGATCCCGAGCAAGAAACAAGGCCAGTTTACACAAACATCCTGCAGATAAGAGAACAGATCCTACCCTATTTCACCACTTATCTCTGGCCAAGGGACAAGTTCCTTGACCATATCTGCTTTCTTTACATACTTCTCTCAAAGATGAAGTCACGTTGTAATGACAACTGCTTATATCCCTCTGACACCAAAGACCATCCTGACCCCAGTCTTTGGAATGACTCAACTGTAACTCAAAATGTAAGTAACATTGCAATATCTTTGTGTTAAGACTTAATATCTCTGTCACATACCCAAAAGGCTATAGCCCAGCTCCCTTCCAGAATCTGATTACCCAACTATTCTTCAATTAGGTCAAGAAGTATTTTCTTCTTAATTCACAGTTACAGTGGACTGGAGGAGGGGCCCAAGTATTAATGCCTTGTGCACATCATTTGTGTACAAAAATGTTGCAAAATTTGTGGCAAGTGATTAATGAGTAGCTCTCACGAAGCTTTTTATTTTTGTTAGCATAAACAGCATTGCTAAAAGCCAGCTTTCAGTYGGTAGTCACTGATCCAAGAGATCATTAAGCTTAGTCAGCACATCTCTTCAGTTTAGTTGGTCTCCACACAGTGACAAAAAAACAACCCTATTCAAATATGGGAATTTTTTACTATTTCTAGAAATAGGAGAAAGGAAAATGCAGCTCTGTGATACCTAAATTCCTCTATGATACCTAAATTCCTCCCCTGCTAGGCAAACACCATAACAAGCCACTTTGAAAATATGCATGGGAAGCAGCAGGCAGGATTATTAAAACATTTGCTAAGAAGACAGGCTGAGCCCTGACACATCACGTCATTGAACCCCAAGTGACGAGACTGACTGGAAAACARCTGAGTATTTGCCACTAGTAGCTTCATTTCTGGTTAGCTGCTGTTTGTTAAGGAAGTCTGAAGCTCAAAAGCACTGCACAACCCTCCCCTTCCCACCCCCAAATACAGACACAACYATCTTGGGATCAAGCTCTGTGAGTTTTCTAACACTGATCAGCAATCAGAAGACACAAGAAAGCATCCCGTAAGCCATAATGCATGAGAATAGATAGGAGAGCAACCCACAAACCTTTAGCAGAGGAGCAGCACTCACCCGAACCCACGCAGGTTGCCTCGACATGGGCCTCCAGCAGCTCCGGAAGGCGAGCGCAGGCAGGACAGGAGGCAAACTGCAGTGCCAGGGGTGGCGAGCTCGGGGCAGGGCTGGCAAGGGGCAGGGCTGGGGAGGAGCCCAGCGGCACAGCCTCTGCCCTGCGGCCAGCACCGGGCTCCCCGCTCCATGCCCCAGCCCTGCCCCAGCCACCTGGCGGTGGGGAAAGAGAGCACGGCTGTCCAACCCAGGGGAAGACGCTTTGAAAGGTATCTTCATCATTCAACCTTTTTTTTTCTTTTAAACCGAGCACATGGTTACCCTTTTAATGGGGTGGGCAGGTACAGGGAACAGGAATAACAGGAAGCTTTTCTGAACACAGAAAAGCTGGGAACACAGCACAAAGCTTGAAGATCTGCATGCTAAGCTATGCGGTTCTGGAGAACTGGACATTTTTACAAGTAACGTKTTCCCTATGTTTCAGCCTATTCTACATCCAGCCCCTTCACACATGCACACTGTATGCCAAAACAATGCAAACAGCCCTGGAAACAATTAAAAAGTCATCACAATACCCAATATTAGGGAAAMAATATTAGTATAGAGGCTGTACTAGTGAATTAACCCAGTGTTTCTATGGTCAGTTACCTGCTTTAGTGGCAACATCCTTTTGTTAAAAAGCATCATTTTCTCTGGGACTATCAGATCTTCAATCTCTCAACTCTGCTAAGATTTCCAGAAAAGAATGAACATTTCTCTTTAAGCAGTAGAGGCCAAAGAAAAAAAAGGAAAAAAACATCTTTTTGTGTGTATGTTTTTGTGGTGACCACAAGAGATCTACAAAATAACAGTGAGTTATTTTATGGCCTGTCAGTACTCAGTTAACCRGAATTTAAACAAGCCTAATCTTAATCCTGTTTTAAGTGCCAGTGGATGGTCTTCACTTTTGTCAAGACCAGTTAAAACATGGTTTTAATGTCTCATTTCCCTCCCACCCACAACCAGAGAAAAAATTGTCATTCTGAGGACAGCTATCCTTAAACATTTATTTTAGCAGTGTAAACAGGACCCCTTGCAGCTGTGTCCAAAAAAAAAAGATGTCAATAAGACTCAGAGTAGCAAACAGATTTACTTGCATACTTTTCCTAAAAAGAAAACTGTCTTACAAGTTGGACTGCACTAGCAAATACTGTCTAGCCTGAAGCGGCTTGACCATTGCTTGCTCTTCCTTTCTCTCCCACTCCAGCTTCCCCAAAACATTCCATATCAAGACTAAAAATGTTTCAGAGCTGTGTCAGAACTTGCATATCCCAAACAAGTTGAGGTGATTTTTTTATGAGACATTCCCCCCTCCCCAAATGAGTCATGATTACAARTATCTTTGTTACCTAACTCCTATAAAGAAAATTTACAATTTACAATAACCTGGTAACATGCTCATCAAGATTTCATGAGCTTTTAAATACCATGACGGATTACAAAACCCTGACAGACTCCCAGCTTAGTCCTTCTTGGAGCAGCAATCTGACTGGAGAAACTTAGGAGGCCTCTTCCAACATAAATTGGCCTGTAAGCAGCAAAATCAATGCACAGAGAAGCCTCCTAACATTTCTGGTGGCCTGGATGTAGTTTTCACAACACAGGGGATTTTTTTTTTTCCTTTTTGCCATGGTAATGACCTAACAAACCACTCCTTGTGTCAACAATATTGATCATCTTTTTAGGTTTCTTCCCGATCTGCACATGTTTCACTACTGAATTCTGTGCTCTTGGCTGCAGCTGTAGAGAAAGTTGCTGTATCAAGCAAACAAACCRTAGTCCTTCCTTTGAAAGGAAGTTCCTTGTTAGACCAAACAATCCCTCCCATTCTCAGACTTTGAAAGAAACCAACATCTCAAGAAGTCTTTTCTTTTCAGCAAAGAGCTCTGGCACAGCACTTGGGAGCCCTTCCAGCTCTCCTGGTGTATTGAGAGAGAACAGGCAGCTAGATGCTGTATATGGGAAATTCAAACCTCTGATCAGTCAGCAAATGGACAGCACAGAGATGGCAGACATTACACGGRCCAAAAAGCACCCATCTATAGATAATAGAGAATGAACTCACTGCTTGGTCTTGTGGTGATCCASAGCAGGAAAGCTGTACCCTGTGTCAGTCTGCAGAGGTGGGGGAGGAAAGGGAATGCCAACAGACCCACTGACAATACAAATCAGCATTCACTGAAAGCACAGCAGGTACTAGCAGCAAATGATCCCTCCTGTTCCCACCCAGAAGATTCAAGAACTCTACAGTCCTGCAGATTCAAGCTTAAACTATGATTTTCCCACCTTTTCAGGTTCTTAGGCCTTGTTTATTATATTTTAACTTCCACATTTCTCAGACTATACGATTCGTAAMAACAAAATCGTTACTAAAAGCAAAGACACAAAGAAATGGACACATTTCATCTCCACCCCAAAGGGCAGGGCGCTCTATGCATAAACGAGGCTGTAACACCCACCCCGTGGAGAACCATTTTCCCACAACCTTGCTTCCCCTTTCATTGCCTGCTATGAGCCAGGTCTGATGAGAACACTCCCCCTGTGGCTGTAAATCAAAAAGGTGGGAGAGCTCCTAGCTGGTCCTTCGAGCAGCTCAAAGGTCGATTTCTTTAAATTGTACGATTGCAGCCAGGACCCAACCAACGCATCACGAATGAAGCACCGAGTCTCTCCGTCCTTCAMGGATCCTGCTGTGCCTACCTACACAGGGATCTGTCAAAACGTTAAATCACAAGGACAGGCATAAAAAGGATTTCAAACCTCGACACCTCGGGGTGGCCAGCAGAGCTCCGATGGCGAGAGCTGCAGGCGAAAGCGGGTCCCTTCGGTGCTCAGCAGCGGGCGATCGCCGCCTCCTCCCCGCCGCACCGGCCCCGCCGGCGCACTGCGGCTGCGACCCGGGGACCAGCGCGGAGGGAAGGAGCACCCCGGTGCGGGGACAGCCCCTGGGAGGGACGGCCGGTCCCCCGGCCGGCAGCGCGGCCCTCCCGCCCGCCGGGTGCCCGCTCCCGCACTCACAGCGCCACCCCGCCCACCTCCAACGCGCCGCACTCCCAGCACCAGTGTCCCGCAGTTACAGAACCACTGTCCGCACTCACAGCGCCACTGTGCCGTACTTACAGAACCACTGTCCGCACTCACAGCGCCACCCCGCCCACCTCCAACGCGCCGCACTCACAGCACCACTGTCTCGCACTCACAGCGCAGCCCCTTGGCCCCCACTCGCACTCACACCGTGACCCCCACTCACAGCGCGGCCGCTCCCCCTTCAGCCCGGCTGCTCTGCGCCGCTGCGGCCAGCGGGATTAGCGCCTGGAGCGGATAAAGGCCTTCTGTTCCCTCTCGGAACCCATTGCCCCCTCTCGGGGCTACTGTAGCTTCTGGCTGAGCAAAGAAACGAAATATTATGGGATACGGTACTTAAATAGGCGAGGAAAAAAAACTACCCAGCCCATAATGACCTGAGTCCAAGAATGTGGTGAGCTTATCATTCAAGTAATCTGATTAATGGGGCACTTAAAATGTTTGCATATATATTGCATTCAAGAATATACTTGCTCAGATAAGCCAGCCAATAACATGTCACAACATCCTTTAACAATCACGCTCTTCAGATGCTTGTGGTCATTAGGCACCACTCCAACCACAAACTCAGAGGACTCATCTTCACTGCCTTGGGATTATTTCCTGAGATCTCCTGTTCAACTGGCATCAAAAATTCCCAAAAACTCAAAACCAAAAACCCAAACAAAAAAAAGGTAGACAGTCTGGTCAGTAACACAACAGCAGCTCAGGAGAATGAACATAACTCGTTTGATGGTCCTAGAGTATTTACTAGGTCCACTAGTATCCTTCACTAGTACCTAGTGAACCAACCAGTGTTTTTCTTCCTGTTCCAAACTTCACTAGACAAAATAGCCTTTTCTTATCACTCTGCTCCTACAGCAGAGCACAGCAGCAGCCAAGGGCAGCCAGAATGCCACATGGAACAGCAGGTTCTGCAAGACAGAGCTCATTGCAACATGCTGTATTACACATGTCAGAATAGCATGGGCTCAGGCAGTCCCAGGGAAAAGATTTTGGGTCTTTTTGCCCAAAACTGTGGKAGTTATGCTTTTATCTATACACATTCTTTTAGAAATCAAGTAGACTATAAAAAGCAATAAAGATACTCAGTCTCAGAAGCAATAAAAAAAAAAAAAAAGCTAAGCAAATGTCACGATAGAAACAGCTTTACCAGACATGGAGAATTTGGAAGGATTGAGAATTTTGGCCACTTTTTTCCCTGATAAATACATGCAACAAATGTCTCTGCTTTTTCTCCTTAATCAGTGTGGGAAGGCNAATTTGGAAGGATTGAGAATTTTGGCCACTTTTTTCCCTGATAAATACATGCAACAAATGTCTCTGCTTTTTCTCCTTAATCAGTGTGGGAAGGCTACCTGTCAACACCAAACACAATATGCTGACTTTCTCACTTTTTGAAAATGCAGTCAGCATTAGAATATATGTATCTCTGCCATAGTGACACAGYAATCTGGAAAAACATTATGACCAAAAAAATGATTGGCACATTTTGTCACCCATCATCATATAATTAAAACCCTAATTTCTGCAGGCTGACAACATTCCTTTCTTCTGAATTTTATCATGGTTGTGGACCTACCTGTCAACATTAGGCAATGGTAGAATGGCAGCTTCATTATTTTTGTTGCCATGGTAAGCATACAAAATGAATTTTTTTCTCAATTATATTTCTGCATGTTACGCCACTAACAGCCTCGCAGCTGGGCTTCACAATTCCAAGATAGCCAGTATTGCTGAGGAGGCAAAAAACCCCACCTATCTCAAAATATCTATTTATTCTTTGCCCTGGGCAGGAGTCTATGACAAAGCACCAGGCAAGAATAATAAGCTGTTCATCTCAAAAGTGACACTGACTTCATGTATCCCTATTGTAAAAAGGGTCCAAAAAAGGCAGAAGAATCTGAGCCCACACATCTGGATTCAGTCCAGGAGCACCTTCCTACTTTACAAAGCAGTGAAATCCTTTGAACATATGCACACATTTAATAGACACAGCACTCAAGGAAATATGGTGTCATGAAAATACATGGAATCTAACCTGCCCTACCCACATCTCCAGAAAAGCCTGCCTTCCTTAAAAAACTACTGTGTTACATTAAGTGGAGTTGCAGCAAAAATTACTTTGTCCTTGTTAAAATATCTTTGCCTTCATTGCTTCAGCAAGGTAGTGAAATGTTGTCAGGAAAGCTGAATGGAAATTTGATTTTATTCATCTTCTGTTTTTTTCCTCTTGATAAAATCRTATTATGACTGATCTGTTACAGTTTAGTTTTCCCAAACAAACTATTCAGATGCTATTCACTTATTTTTCCTTTTACAAAAAAGACTAATAAATTCTCTAACACATATATACACACATTTCACAAAGCAGCAGACACCAATATTCAGTCTTCAAGTCGCCAGGTTTTGAACAGTGTTCTTCAAAAGCACATTCAGCCCTTCCTTTTCCTGCCTTTATAATTCAGTTTCATAACAGTCTGTAAAGTGCTTGTACATCAGTTAATTAAATTTCCCTGGCATGTCTATGTGTAAGTAAGAATGCATTGTATCAGTAGCTATGCTAAAACATGATCTAGCATTACGAAACTTTCAATTCATGTACAGAATGACAAAGCTGTGCGTTATTTCAGGAGTTATATCTTTTTCTTGTTGGATCATGCTCCTRTAGATCAGCCTTAGACCAAGGGCATTGCTAGACAGATGGCATATATTAAATAAGCAGTTTTTCAATGAGGAAACAGGAGATCGCTAAAGCAACAAGGAAAGACAGTGGTGCACTAGGGCAGGATATAGACCCTAGGTTTCTAAAAGGACTTCCAGACTAATTATAAGACTTTCAACACTAAGCCACTAAGATTAGATGTAGATATTAAAAAAAAATACAGCTTGAACTTTTCACTTATGTGCTACTAAAGGCAAACCCACACAGACGCAGACTGACGTAGGTCTCTGCTATGTCAGGCAAAAGCCACCTTGTTTGGAGACTGAACAGTGACATGTACTCATGTAGTGGTGCTCTCAACCTCATCCTGATTCTCAGGAAACACACCCACCAGTCTGCCTTGACACAGAACCTTAGATTTATCTTAGCTACCATCAGGGTACAGTAGTCACAGAAACCAAAGGAAATACAGGTCTTTTGAAATTAGTTAATTCACATAAGCAGGTCACAGTAGGACACCAAGGAGAGATTGGTGCAATACTCCCCATGTGGACAAGAACAGGAAGAAAGAATTAGTAAATCTTTTCAGAGTGTACAGAGATTCTTATAACAAATCTCTTTTGCAATAGCCTGGTAAACACTGAATCACAGAAAAGCCTACAAGACAAAAGATAACCAAGGCATTAGAAAAGTGCAGATGAGGTCATTAGTCCTCCCACTGTCCTTCAGTCTTTAAATATCTTTGTGTCAGGTAAGTGTAATGACTAAGWGTAAGCAAAATAGAATCTGTGTTTTACAGTTTGTCTCCTGTTTACTGCAGTGCTACATACAATATTACTCTCATTTTTTTTATATCAGGTAGGACACTGAAGATCAGTAAGGAGAAGCTATTTTTAATGACTATTCAAGCCACTAGAATAGCGATCTAACCTCAGGCTCTACAAGCAAAACCAAGCTCCTGAACATCCCAAATTACCCACAAAGATCGCACTGAAAACACAGTAACTGCACTTCTGCAAGATCAGGACATCAGAGGAAAACAGTCCTGTTAATCACCTGCAACTACTGTGTAGTTTCTAYTGAAAATCAGGCACTCAACATGTTTCTAGGCTATTTCTCTTACATGCTGTTGTGGTAAAACTGCCAYGTTTAATTTCTTACTACGGACTTGAAGAGCAGCTATGCATCTTACAGTCTACAGAAGTCATTGGTAAGGACAAGGATGCTTGTGTTATTAATACAACTGAAGTRCCCTACATTGTTCTTAAGACAATGAGTTTCTGTATTCAGTCAAATAATGTATCTCACCAAGGTGGTTGTATGTAGCTAGAAAATCTAATGTCATTTTTTTTTTATTAGAAGTAATCAATTTTTAAGGTTTAAAACAACCTGTTGATTTAGCTGCTACTCAGAAATATTTGACCAAACTCTAAGGGAAAAAAACTGTGCTTTCTCTAACAAATTTGACCTTTTCCAGTAGAAGATGAGCTGCTCTTAGTATTTAAAATCTGGAGAAAAATTCCACTACCATTCAGATAAAGAACATCCATGTTATAAAAACAAAATAGCTCTGGTATTAGAAGTGTTGATGCCACGGTGGGTCATTTTGACAGAACTTGGCTAGGAATCAAACTCACATACCAGCAAGCCTCAGTTCCAATCCAGCTCCTGGTAGCAAGGTTGTAATGAGTAGTTGGGAACAGTAAACTTCTAATCCAGCAGAGCTACAGCCACTCTCTAACCACAGCCTTAGAGTTAAGCTTTTAATCCTCTTATTATGCTGGGCTATTTGTATGTGTAATTTTCTTCTGCTACAGCAAAACACACAAGTGTTACTATCAAAACTGAATTTCAACATTGCATATCTATTTTTTGATAGCATTTTTCTTGGTCTTTATACACCATCAACCTAGGCAGCCATAAACTATGTATTTCATATTTTCAATGTATGGTTTCTGTTTAATTCTTGGTGAACATTTTTAAGAGGTTGTGCTCATCTGTCATGAGCATGGGGACAATTTTCACATTGACATCTACCATTTTTACTTATCACAACAGCTTGAAAGAAAAGCAATATAACAAAGTATCCAATGCATGACTGAAATGAAGGACTCTAATGACTTCAACTGACAAGGGTGAACATCACAAAGAAATACAACAGAGAAGATATTCTAYTTACTTACAAGGTACATTTCAAGTCCACAGCATCCCTACTGCAAGTYCTATTTCTGAAAACATATTGGTTTATAGGCCTTTAATGGTAACGTGAAAGCCTTCCAGCAGAATACGTAATTAAATCATKATCAGTCTTTCTTCCTGGAACCAAATTATACTCCATAGCCCTCCTTGGTGACAGGTTTAGTCACCAACCTAGAATCAAAAGTTCACAAAGATATGGTTTAGATCTTGTCTGGATGCTTTGTTTGTTATATAAAGCCTGTCAAAGCTAGTAATTGGTTTGAGGAATGTTGGTAAGTAATTTTTCCCAAGTTAAAAAAAAAAAAACACAACAAAACACGAATATCACCTTCTGTTAGTAATGTGTTTAAGTGTATTTTCTTTCAACCATCTTTCCCCATAGCCATTTTGTTCTCATCCACTAATTTTTTTCCATTGTATAAACTCTCAAACCAATTTAAGTGTAGCACATACTTAAAATGMTTTTGTAGGGGGTAAAACCCAAGAACTTTGTGGTTATCCCCTTTTGCTAAATTAGTAACAAGCACAATTTGAATGCATTTTATATCCTGTTCTTGATTTAACAAAATTGGTATTTGGGTGATACACAGGTGACAATAGSACAGAATGATAAGTGGAATAAAATAGTGAGCTGATTAAGAACTTCCAAGGYTGCACTACCAAACCAGCATTTTAATAGGCATTGTCCATGTGTATGTTGCAGGTTAAGCTTGGAATGCAGGCTTTTGGGAAGGAAAGCAGGCTGCTTAGGTAAAGGGGAGTGGTAAGGCTAATTCCATTTCAAGCCACAACTACCCAGGAAATGATCCATGCTGTTGCCCATTCCTGTGGTTTTACTATTATGATCCAAGAACATTCACAAAAACACAAGTTAGAACCCTGAGATGATTTGGCAAATGCTTTTCTGCCTATGCCAGCTATTGTTCCAATAACAGATAACCTGCACAGGCCTGGTTAGCTGGAACTGAAATAACTCTGGAGAACAGTTATTGAAATCCTTACTAATTCACAGCTTCTCATGTGTAGYAAGAGAGATTACAGACTCAAAAGGTTTCTAGGATATGAATGTCACTTCACCTGGGAGATGACAGGTGAAAAAAAGATGACTGAAGACCTACCAAGCCAGATGAGCAATGTCCTAGATGCTAAATAGGRAGACCAGGGAAATGCACAAAGAATTGTGAATTGTAGCCATTTGACTCACATGGAAATCATCAGAGTTTGTTCTTGCTGAACCAGGGGAAGCCCTAGGTAASCTTCAGCATATTACAGATGACTCASAGGAGTGGCTCTGAACTGATTTCTAAATGACACAGATGCCAAAGACAACCCTATCATCAAATACCATAGGTTGAACTTCGGATGAAATACAGAATAAACATGAAAAATAATGTTTCCACTTTAATTAAGATAGTATTCAGGCTTACCATAATTAGTCCATTAAAATAAAATTCCTTTAACTACTGCTATTAAACTATTCAGCTTATTAAGAACCACAAAATATCACASATCTAAATGACTGCCTAACAGCTGCAATGCAGTTCATTACGTACCTACAATCAAGCTTTTCTCCCACAGGAAGGCAGCATCAATAGCTACCCTTCCACTATTCCAGGGTTCCCTCTCAGATTGCTCAGCAGCAAATTATTTACATACTAAAATTCACTGAGAGTTTAGCCTTCCTAGGACAGCATCTCCTCTAYGTGCATCTGAGGGACTGCTACACAAAGAAGCCAAACATCCCTTTTTTCAGAAACGTTTTTTTGTTAAACATTAGCAAAGCTCTATGGTATCTTAACACTGTTACTAAAACAAATCAGTATCTAGAATCGAGAAACACATGGCTATTATTATGACATCCTAATCATTATATCCTTAATACTAGTACAAAGGTTATCTCTTTGAGAAAATGATAATGTCCCTGTGAATCTATTTTTGGTCTTATCTGATCATCTGCCTTAAACACCCTATGATTCTTTTATGCTCTGCCCTGCATTTATTTTCTGGTATTCTCTACCTGCATTTCTATTCCCAAATTTCATAATACATTCAATAATTACTTCACATCACTGTATAAATAGAGCACCTGACCAGGATTGATTACCCACATGATGCTTTTTGCTACCCCAGGTAAACATGTATTGTTTGAAATTTTACTAACTATAAAATCAAATACACGCAGTTCACAAAATGAACAGTTTTTTAAAAAAATACCTAAGTTGTTACATTTCAAAATTCAGAGCTAATGAAAGCTTCTAGAGACCATCTTCACATCAGTCAGATAATTCATGAACAYAAACAGGGTTTCCTAATCACAAAAGTGAGTCAAAACAAACTTCTTAAACAACACAAAAACAAGTTGAGCRGATAAACAAGGGAAATGAAGAATAACCAAAGTCTAGTACTTGATTTAAAAAAAGGCTTTTAATATAAATCTGAATACAAAAATAACCAAAACACCCTACAGTCATCACAAACAAATCCTCAAGGTTTTCTCTTATCTGTTCCCTGACAGTTTGGCAAGTGCCTGTTTTCTCTGTTCTGCMGACATATACTCACAGGCTTCCAAAATATTGACTATAATTAAAGTCTGTTGAACTGTTTTTGCTTTTACCCATATTCTTCCATTCATTCCCAGCACCAGCTCAAATGGGTACAATTGTGACAACTCCTGAATTATTTCACATTTGGGAGCCAAGAGCCTGTGAACAAGAACAGAAAAAGTCAGAGGAAGAAGTGCTCAACTTASAGACACCACATTATTATCAACCAGTAATTCCAGCAGTACTGCTGTTATGGGAGCTGTTTAAGAAACACCTAAAGGTAGGATGACCAACTTGCATATACATCCAAAATAACAATACAGTATCAAATTTTTAATTCTCCTCTCATATAAAATATATGCAATACATGCACCTAAAAATAAAACAGTTGTAAATTTAGTTCCTTTTTTTWATTAGATTCAGTAATCCCCGACAAATTTAAAGTGAATTGATACTTTCACAAMAATTCTATGATCTAATAAATTCTAAAAAGATGCTGTTTGACAAAATGACATTGTTAAAGTGCTATTTATAAAGTTGCCACCCAAGAGGTACTTTCAAAACAGGACTTTAGGAAACAGCACTAAACAGACTACTTTATTTCTATTAGATGACAACATACTAAATACTGTAATAKGTCTAGGATCAAATCAAGCTTGAACAAGTTTTTACAAAAACTAAAGTATTCACAAAAACTAAATGCATATCAGGATTTAACAGTTTACTTGTAATATGCTATTATTTCTTTACTTGCATATGGACAAAATTTGGAAAACTAGAAAATCTCCAAGAACTTTTTATATCAGTTCACTCTGACTTCTGATAGGACACATAAATCAGATAATTACAGGTATGAAACAACTGTTCTACATCTCCAGATTGCTTTTCCAAAGAACAACAAAAACAAACAGGAAAGCCCACCCAAAAAGGAACAAAACTTATGTATTGTTTATCCATGTAATCTGGTATTCCTTGATAGTCACAAAAAAAATTTTGTATTTACAGCACGGCAASTAACTACAAAGTTCATAACACATTTAAAAGTTCATGAAACAGATTCTTGGATCAACATGGCAGTTTTARATGAAAATCTTACCACTTTTTTATCTTTATTTCAATGGAATTTGTTTTTCTTTGGAAGTCAGGAAATAATGTGCACTGATGTGGAAAAACCTCTTAAATCAACAGTCAGCCAAATATACTCCCTCCACTAACCCATTAAGCAACAAAAGGACAAAAAGCATTTCCAATTTTAAACTCCAAGGTAGCATACAATACCTGAAAAAGTATCCTGAATTTTTATTTTATTTTCCATACTGCCTTAGCAGCCACATCACTTTTTTGTTGTCACGCAGCACAATACAAAAGAGCTTCTAAACCTCTTAAGAGGAAAAATAAACTTTCCTTCTAGGTCAATATCCATACCCTCTTCAGCAAAACTGGTTTAAATGTGCTACAAGAATTACACAGTCTGATTTACCAAATTGCTTACACTGTGCTCACAGTTGTGGGAATCCTACCCACCACATTACACGTGAGAGTGATTATTTACATTTCTCAGTACTTACTTTCTTATTAGACCTAAGGAAACTTTGAAGAGGAAGCCATCTTGTCCAATTATTCCCATTCCACTGGATTTTCCACTGCTGTCTATACAGACCATCTCTGGTTCCATGTCTTTATTTGCCACAAGAAACTGACCATAAATAAGATCTCCCACCTAAACAAAACAGTGACAAAAAGCAAAAGTAATAGAGAAGATCTTAGTACACATTTCTAACAATTGATAAACATCCTCCAGTGAGGCCATGAAATAGTTTTAAAGCAATGATGACAGAAAAATAAACTGGTWTACTAGGAATTTTAATTCTCTTCTTCTACTAGAGACAGCATCCTCCACAATTATCTTTCTTATTGAAAATTGTAAAATAAGAGGACAGAATTTTATTAATGAAGTTAAATAACTGGGTTTTTTTTWAAATACTAAATATTAACTTCCCTTTCTTCAGATATTRAGGATATGAAAAGTCTAAGCAACCTGCTCTTGTAATCATTTAGCAGGACAAAAAAAAACATAACACCAGCTTATTTCAGTTTTCTTTACAGTTCATTTTATATTCTGGTGATTTCATCATTTCATTTTATATTCTGGCATTTCATCTGAGTGCAGAACCTGTGGCATGCATGTGCCACACAACCGGTTCATAACAGTGCTGTTAAAAAAACCCGTACAACTAATATTTTCTTCCAGAATCACACAACCTTAACTTCAGAGTGCCCTTTTGGATGCACACTACCCATGAACTGCATCTGCTGCTGGCAGCACTATGTGCAAATGAAATTATRACAATGAAGCAGCCAGCCACCTGAGAGAGAGCAAAGCACGCTGGTTACAGTTCTCCTAAAAACATCATAAAGCCTAATGTGCAAAATCCTCGGAAAAGGGCCAAGGCCAGACCATTACAAACAGAYCCGCACACCTCCTCCAACATGCAGCTAACAAAAAAATGTACTCCCACTAAGAAAAGCCACTGAAACGCAACACAAGCGCCACCAAACGACGTGACTAGAGCATTCCTGATCTACCTGCACGTTTGGCCTGTTCCTCTTCGTGGCGCCTTCGAAGGCCAGGTAGGACAGRGACGCCGGCTCGCTGCCGCCCACATCCAGCCTGAACACGTCCCCTGCTTTGGCCGTCACGATCCCTATAACGTGGTCGCCCTTCACCGGCACGTACTGCAGCGGGGAGGGGGACAGAGGGTCAGGAGAGCGACGCCGAGACGGGGGTGCCATTTACACACACAAACACACCCCGGTTCCGCCGCGCCCATACCCGCTTCTGCTGCGAGTCCACCCAGAAGGCGCCGCCGCCCGCGGGCCGGTGCCGCAGCAGCCCGCACTTGGTCACCAGCAGCCCGGCCCCGCAGCGCCGCAGCCCCGGCCCGCACAGCAGCCGCCCCTGCGGCCCTCCGCCCGCGCTCAGCCGCAGCCGCTCGCCCTCCGCGTCCTCGTCGTAGTGCGCGGGGAGCAGCAGCAGGTCCCCGGGCAGCACCACCTGCCCCACCAGGGCCTCGGCCGCCGTGCCGCTCTCCGCCGCCATGGCCGCGCCGGCGCAGGGCCCTCAGGCCGGGGGCGGCTGCGCACTGCGGCCCTGAGGGGAGCGATCGCGGGGCGCCAGCGACACCGCCCGGCCGGAGCGGCCCTGAGGGGAGCGATCGCGGGGCGCCAGCGACACCGCCCGGCCGGAGCGGCCCTGAGGGAAGCGATCGCGGGGCGCCAGCGACACCGCCCGGCCGGAGCGGCACTGAGGGGAGCGATCGCGGGGCGCCAGCGACACCGCCCGGCCGGAGCGGCACTGAGGGGAGCGATCGCGGGGAGCCAGCGACACCGCCCGGCCGGAGCGGCACTGAGGGAAGCGATCGCGGGGAGCCAGCGACACCGCCCGGCCGGAGCGGCCCGCGGCCTGCCTTCCATCCCCACAGGCTGCTGCAGCCGGCCCCTCACAGCACCTCCGCCAGCTGCCTTTCCTACAGGGAAACAGTTCTGCTTCCTTCCATCTCTGCCAGGGAACGACCAAGTGAGTGCTGGCACTTAAGCCTCGCAATGAATAAACACGCGGAGTTATTTCTTCCAGCTGCAGTTGTTCACAGGGTTTTTTTAATACCCGATTAGAAGCTGACGGTAAAACAAACAACTGGACACATTTGAGGTGAATGTCAGCCAAGGAGTTCGGCAGGGAGGAGAAAAGATCTTGTCTCTTGTGAGAAGAAATTGCTCACAGAGAGATGGCATTRAAACAGTCAGAAAGGATCACAGTGGGTCATCGGGTCCATCCTCCCTGATTAAGCAGGGTCATCTTAGAGCACATTGCACAGAACTGCATCCAGTTAGTTCTTTAACTTCTCCAGAGGGGCAGATCCCAGAACCTCTCTCGGCAATCTGTTCTAGTGGTAACAGTTCTGCCTCTGTTTAGACTGGAACTTGCTGTGCATCAGTTTCTGCCCATTGTCGGTGTCCTGGTGGTTGGCACCACGGAGTGGGCCTTGGCTCCATCCTCTTGGCACCTCCCCTTTAGATATTTATACACATTAATGAGGTCCCTTATCAATCATCTCTTCTCAGGGCTGAACGGGCCCAGTCGTCTCAGCCTTTCCATGTAAGAAAAATGCTCCAGTCCCTTAATCATCTTCACAGCCCTCTGCCGCACCTGCTCCAGGAGTTCCATGTATCTGCCGTGTTGGGGAGCCCAGAACTGGACACAGCACTGCAGGCAGAGCCTCACCAGGACTGAGTAGAGGGCAGGATCACTTCCCGGACCTGCTGGAAATGCTCTTCCTAACACATCCCACAGCACCACCGGCCTTCCTGGTCACACAGGCACGGCTTAGTCAGGGACAGCTTGTTGTCCACCAGGACCCTCAGGTCCTTCTCCGCAGAGCTTCTTTCCAGCAGCTGAGTTATCAACTTGTACCGGCACTCAGAGTAATCATTCCCCATGTCCACAGCCCTGCGTTTGCTCTTACTGAATTTCAGGCTCTTCTCTGCCCATCTCTCTAGCCGAGGTCTCTCTCAAGCGCCACACAACCCTCTGAGGTSTCGGCCGCTCCTCCCAGTTCTGTGCCATGGGCGACTGTTCCGCTCAGGCGCTCTATCCCTCCCGTGCCTCCTGCGGGCCCGCTGCGTTGGCGGCGCTGTTGCGGGGTAACCCCGCGCGTCCGGGCGGTGCCGCAGCAGCCRCGGGCCGGGGCAGGAGCGGGACAGGCCGGGAGCTGCCGTCTGCGGCTGCGGGAGCTGCTAGCGGGAAGGAGCCGGAGCGGGGCTGCTCTCCGCGGCAAGGCGAGTGCTGATAGCACGGCCCCGCGGTGCCAGGAGCAGGGCAGCGACAGTGCCCGGTGCTGGTGCCTGTCTACGAAGCGAGGCAGGGTAATTTCCCGGGCCCGGCCGGGAAATCCCAGCACCAGGCGTAGGGATAAGGAGCGGGCCCGCCCCACCTGGAGCGTAGTGGAGGGGGTTAGACACTTTTTTTGTTCAGTGCTTTGTCCCTGTCACTGGAGCTTTTAAGAACTAAAGCACTATTAAATAACTTTCCCGTATGAATTGAAAGCTTAATAAAAAGTAATGTCATATTCAGTGTTTGTCATCTGAAGCAAGAATTTTTAAACCCCCTAACTTAATTCTGACACTGACGTCTAATATGTGTGTTTATTGTCAGTAGATTTGGATGGCATCTGAGTATCTGAAGGAATGCCTGGGAACTTGCTTGAAGAAGGGACTGGCAGAGGTTGTAGAGCATCAGCCAGCAGATCCAATAGAGTATCTTGCACGCTGGATTTACAATTACAGGAGAAAGTTAGATGAAGAAAAACAGGTGGCTCCAACTTAAGCAAAAAAATTGCTATAATGTAATTGATGCTGTTTAATATATCTTTCATTTTTGTGTCTAATTGATTCTGTGTTACCTCTGAAATAGAGAATGCTGGAGAGAGCTGAGCTGGAACAAGAACGGGAGGCAGCTCTAGCAGAACTTGAAATATTAAGAAGACAGGAAGAAGAGCAACGGAGACTTGAAGAAGAACGTCAGGTTAGCAATATTTAATAATAGATARTTCTAAGTAGCATGTAGTGCTGTGGCATCTTGGAGTTTTTTGTATGCTTCTAATATCTTTATAATGATTTTGATAAAGGTGGCATAACACAAGTATTCTAATCTCACTTTTCTGAGTAACTGAAATTATTAGTCAGCATGTGGATAGGAGAACCTATGTACTATGCAGTAAAATGTTGTTTTAAAATGAAGGGTAATAAGATAAAAAGCAACCAATTTAAAATTTATGCAAGAGGCAACTGAAAATACTGTTTGGGCTTATATGAGAAATAAATACAATACCTATCTTTCTAGCTATTCTTTATGAAGGAGCCATGGGAACTTGTTCATGTGCATAACAACCTCAGTGTTGCTGTGGTGATGTTGTCGTCATCTCACAGGATTTTTTTTGTGTGGCTGACTTCCATGATGTTAAAACCAAAAGCTTAAATTTTTAAATTTATGTTGGTTATATTAAGCCCAGTTCTATTGTTAGATGCATTTATTTCATTTTACTTGCAGTTTTAAAATTTGGAATTTATCARTTTGTAGACCACAAGTAATTTGCTTAAGGGTTTCATGAGTGATGTAAAATAGCAAGTGAAAATAATGAGATTGTGTCTAGAGATAATTCACAGAGAATTAAATAAATAATTTCATGCAAGTTGTGGGAAAGATGTTTAATAATACTCACATTAGATGCATTTTTTTAACCTTACTCACAGTTTTGGCTGTAGTAAAATACTGAGGTAACTCTTGGTTTTATGTGCCAAAAAGGAATAGAAAACTATGACCATAGTTGTAAGTGCTCATAAAATGCAAGAGCAAACAGTATTCTCTAATGTTCTTGATGCAGTTTCTGAAGTTTTGATGTAACAGGACTTATGTTCACAATTATTAAGCACTTCCTATTGGATTTTTTCAATTGTAAATACTAAAGGTTGCTGCTGGGAATGATTAATGTTAATGACAGTGCTAGCAAWTTTTTTCTATATATTTGATTCTATATTGATTCATCCATCTATGCTAGATATTACACAAAGTATCAAAGAACTTAATCCAAAGGATAGGAGATAACTAATACAGAACTGATAAAGAGGATGTGCAATAAGACAGTATCTAAGTGTGTACACTAAATTCAATTGGCTGTTTCTTCTTCCTTTTGGTAGCAAAGCCTTTTTATCCACAGGAATCTCAAAACTTTTAAAGTGTTGAGCCAGATGAGACTGAAAAGACTTYGTTATTAATCTAACATAGCAGTTATGTTTTATGCTTACTTTTTATTTATGATTTCAATTGTGAAATACATTGTAAGCAATGTGGTGGAAAAGATGAATGTRGGTTATTTTTTCTTTCTAATTTTTCCTTTCTTAAACTGATTACAGGCTCAGTTGGAAAGAGAACGTGCAGAGTTGGAGTTGCAAAAACAGCGTGAGGAGTTGGAAGCACAGAATGAAGAAGATGAAATGCAGTCCCATGAGGAAGATCAAGAGGTATAAGCCAATGCTTAGTTGGTGGTTTGAAAATATCATTAATCAGCCTTTTTTTCCAGATGCAGGCATCAGTTACAAAACACAAAGCAAAAACCCACGGGTGTTTAACTTACACATAATTAAAGAAACAAGAGTGTAGATGGGGGAAAATGCCTAACACATGGCTTCTGCAGTCTGGGTTTTATACTTAAATTTTGGTCAAAACAGAACATAAATTTATTGCAAAAATCTAGCATAAGGTCACCTAAGCTTGTGCTTCCACATTCCTTGATGCTATTTATTGGAAAGTTTTATAAAAGAAACATGTTTAATTCAAGCATCAAGACAGTAATGTTTTACAGGGTGTTAGCATAAAGTCCATTTACTGTACCTGGAAAAGGAGCTGTGGTTTGGAATTGCAATGCCTCTTGATTCTGATATCTTCCTGGTGCATGGGAATTTGCATTAACAGAAGAGTGTGTATAGAGATATCCATGTATATCACCTTTTAGTGCTGCTTCAGTAAAAACATGCATGGATAATTGGCGTGTTTATCTCCCTAAAGCTTTTAAAAGTRTGTATTTCTTAAATTTATGTGGAACACATATTATTTCAGAAATATTTAAGTTTTTAGAGCACTCATTAAAATACTGACAAAACATAATTGTACTAAGATGAGAGTATGAAGGTGACAGAAAAAATGAGTAGRTACTCATTACAAAATTTAAACTAAAATTGCTGTTAATTAAGCAAAAACAAAAACAGGGTTAAGCATGCAAAGACCATATTCCCATACTACTAAATTTGTATAGCACTTATTTAAAGTATTCTCTTTATATTAATATCCAATGTCATTTTACACACCTGAAATATGATTTCATGGTATTTTATGGGATATTTTAACTGAAAACTGACTTTCATTACCACAGGAAAATGAAAACGCAATAGCTGAAGATACAGATAGACCTGAAACACCTAGTGAATCCAGAGATGAGGAGCCAGATGAGAATGAAGAGCTTGAAGTAAGTATTTTAAAAAAGATTATATATGATTGATTCTTACAGATTTGCTTTTCTGTGCTGGTCTGTCAAAAGGTTAAAATTGTTGGTGGCTCTCCTCTTTTTTTAAAGAGATAGTATTTTAGCCACAACCTCCAAACTGCCCATAGCTGCACTCTGGTAGAAGTTAAGCCATTCTAAAAGACTCTGTGGTGTTTACTGACTAAATCCTCAAGATTTAAAACACTCTTTTGTATTCAGATACATTARTGATTAAGGCATGAATATACTCAGGGTGGAGGTGAACCTTTGTGTGCCATGTGAACAGTTTCATGAAACATGTATTAAATCACTTTATTTCTGGTACCAGTAGTATAATTCCAGAAGAATTATAAATTTATATTGTGATATTAATATGCTTTATACATAAAGTTACTTGAATGACAGCCTGTTTTATAAGTGTTCTCTGAATAGACTTAGGAAAATACTTATGACTATTCTTAAAGTCATGTTTTCACAGGTGTTTTTTCCACTGAGGTAAATCAGATGAGTATGTAACATCTCGTATAGCCCCAATTTTTATAACTTTGTGATAATTACATGTTAAAAATATTCTTGAGGCTTCAGGAAAACTTTATGAGTTCTTTAAAAAGCAAATTGCAAAACCAGAAGTGAAAATGAGTAATGTGTACCTTCTTGTACATGTGCCATCTTCCAAGTTTTCATGCCTAAAGGAGTGTAGGTTACATTGGCAATGTTGTTTCAGGTTTTGCAGTAATATCCTTGCTACAAATTAAGAGCAGATTGATAAAATAAGGTATATAGGCTTGTACTATTGATTCTGCCTTCAGAATCACAATTCTTCTTCCAAATTCCCTGGATTTTATAATAAAAGTCTGATGACATTGATTGTATTTCACTGAATGGAAGAATATATTATTATACTGATAAGTACCAACTTGTTTATCATGGGCAGTTTTTTCCTGTTTACAAATTTCGATGAATGCTGGTAAGGGATAGACTTACATTAGATAACAATTCTGCTGTTTTTCAGAGTCAAACAGATCCCACAACAGGAACAGAAGAAGCAGAAGAAGAAGAAAGTCCCAGCTGACCTGAAAGCAGTAAATATATTTTCTACTCATTACTTGCTGATCCTGTAGTATTTTGATTTATGTATTTTATAAATAGAACTGATTTACATAMCTGTTTCTCCAGTGTCTGTTTTCAAGGTGTTTATATAAAGTCTGTTAATTCTGACACTGATTCTTCCTTTTTGTTCTTAAACCTTTGCCAAGCATGGCTGACTTGGGGAAAGAAAACTGCAATTGAAATGAAAGCAGCAAATATATTTTCGACTTAGTGCATATTGAAGTAACCTTAATAAATACAAATACAACGAATGTGTCAATGTTATTTGAGGATAGATGCTACAATGTGATAATTTGCATCAATATTAAAAGAATGAAATACTACTAAAAATTATTTTGCCAAGAATTTGAATGATTTCTGATAGAAAAAGGGAATGCTTGACAGATTAAAAGATGGAGAGAGTGTTCTGGACATCAAACTTGGTGCAAAAATCCAATCAGAAGATTTTCCAAATGTATTTGGAAGAGRTAAATTTAACTCTGACTCAGTATGTACTAGAAGATCTTGTCTCTTTGAAGTCATGAGGAAGTCTTTGTAACACCAGGCATCTGTTCTAGGCTTCATTAGATCTTTTTTTGGGTAYTGTGTGGTACTAGGTGAGCTGCAAGTGTCCACCTATCAGTTTTGATTAGTCTTTTCTGAATTTTTCTTGCATTAAAATTAACAAATGAAATCTATGTTGTCTACTAAATACCATTATTTGTCACAACTTCTCTTCTAAAAATTTAGAAAAACATTTAGCTTGATCCATTGTTATCTGTAAAACCAAGTTTTATAATCCTAAAATAAGGATTAATTTTTGTAAGAACAGATATTTGTAATCACTGGTATCTTGGTGTAGGTTGTCAAGAACATTCTGTGTCTGTTCATTTTAAGTGGAAAGACATCAACATTAAGAAATCCTGCACTCCCTCAATAAAATGTGCTTTTGTGTCTGTCTTCTACCACAGATTAGTTGKTCATTGCCAATATTGTGTAATGAAAATATTTTTTATTACAAAATCAGAGTTAATGCATTTACTGCATCCTTCCGTTTTGAGACAAAAGAGATTTTTGTGATAATTTSACTTCAATTTTTCTATACTGTTGCTTACTGTAAGGGGTTTGGTGTCCTTGGCAAACTATTAAAAATATCTATACACCCAACAGACAAAGGTCAATCACATAATAAATGTTTTCCTGCTCTGAATAACTTGCTTTGGTCACATAGTTCAAACTAAGAATAATCTTATAAATTTTTAAAAATGTGAGCACTATTGATTTTTTGTGTAGCAATATATTGTTTTTTTTCCTTTAAAGTACTTTTATTTAAAAAATCCTGTGCCCATTTCATTGCTACATTACTTTTTGGATGCTGTTAATAACTATRTCTTATATGAGCAAAAGAGGAAAATCAAAAGAGGAAAATGTCACTTACCAGGTATAAATACTTAGAAATGTCTGTGTAACTTTTGGAGCAAGGAAAAACAGAACTCCTTTTGTGACAAGGTGGTCCGGCTTTGCTGTCTACATTTATTCTGATTGGTAAGGGTTTGCATTTTCTATGCAAGTCAAGAACCTTTCCTGTGGCATGAATACACCCTTGTGGCTGATATTCCAGTAAACAGATTTTGTCACAGTTTGATTTTATTTATTAGTAACAGTTACAATAGAACCATTTTAAGGACACACTTTAATACCACAGTTCTAATTACACCTGTTAGCGCTGTGTGTGCAGCAGCTCCTCATGCCATTCTCAAAGGGATGGAGTAACTGCATAAACAGAGTTGCTTTTCTGACCCAGTATGAATAACTGATTCTCAATATTTAGATTAACATTTTCAAAAATTTGTAGCTCATGTCCCTTTGTTTTTCAAATCCAATTATATGGACTATGAAAATTTCAGCCTTCATACAGCCTTCAAAATGTAAGACTATTTTAAAACATACTAGAAAGTAATTCTAATGACATGTTGCTTTTCTTTTTTTATCTTTTCATACTATTTGTATCTTTGATTTTGTTATGTGTGTCCACTAGAGTGCATCCTAAATAAACACACTGGGGAATCTGTCAGTTAAATCCCATGAAAACTACAACTTTTGTTTGTAATTTTGTTTCAGTTTGTTTTTAGCTATGACCTTTTTCTTTGTGATCCTGCAGTCCTTTTTCCTTACTTTTTTTCTAGAGAGGAAGTTATGGATGGAAAATTTTATCAGAAAATTACTTAGCAAGGGTCAAAATAAAGYGGTAGATTCCAATTTACCTGTTTCTTTATTGTTAGTTACAGAAAACATTTGTTATTAAAATGTCATCTATAGGACTTAGCATTTTTTTCAGGATTTGATGTGCACAGAACTGGGGCATTATTCTCCTTCTACAGCTTTATAGTAATTCTTGGATATGGGAYAAGAGGTAAACAGTTCTTGGCTCAATGCTTTCTTAAGGTGCAAACCTCCCTGTAGGTAGCTTGGAAATGTGGTTCACAATAAAGATGACTTCTCTTTGGTTGTCTAAACCTGAAGAGAAATTAAGGCAGCTTAAAATAATTGTTGCCCTCTCTTTCTGAATTTTCACCTTCTTTGCACYATAGCAGCTAGAGCCTGGAACAGGAGTAGAGCACATGACTGTTTTAGCTACTGCCCATTATGTGATTTCAGAAATGTTAACACAACTCACCTCTGCATAAAATATGAAGTTGTATGTTGGGAAAAAAAAATCGTGATTACTAAATGTAACTTCATCTGCAGCTTACACTCCCTTTGAATACATGTTTATGGAATGAAGAAGATAGAATTCAGAGACAGATGATGGAAACTGTCACTGAAAATAAAGTGCTAAATATTGACAGAAGATTTATGAAATCRTCATTTTTCCTTTCTTCAGAGTAAGAGCAGTCTTGTTTAGGCTGCTATCAGGCCATGTGCAGATCCTTCAGAGAACATGCTGATAGTAGCATGCCCATTCACAGCTGTTCTCATTCCAGCAATACTGAAGCATAAGGATGAAAACAGATATGAAGCCCAGAATAGGATAAAACTATTCAGATTAACTATCAGTCTGCTCACAGAGGTGAAAACTCAGCTCTGCAGTGTGAGAACCTTCTCTTGCATGGAGAACTACATGTTGCAGCAAGCACATTTTGATGTTATCTTTTAGTAGAATAGATTTTATTAAGTTTGCAGTCCCCTTTATGATGAATGGTTTTCCTTCATAGTCTAAAGGAACTAACTTATCTTTTTGTAAGCAAAAGCTTTATACAGTAATTTGCTAATAGTAATGGGAGCCAGATGAATTAGTCTGGATTAAATGTAAAATTGAATTCCTCTGGACTTTGCTAATACAGTTTACTCATATTTGAAGTCAGCTATTAATTACTTTACTTCTTTRAAGCTTTTCCTGTACTTAGGTTAGAAAAAGAGCAGTGTTGTCTATTGACTACAGCTAGAAAAGAGTCTAAACCTGTTATTTGCTGATAAGGACTGGTACTTTTTAAAATATCTTACCAGTACAGTCTGCTTTTTTTGGTTTTGTTTTTGAGGTGTTGGGGTTTTTGATTTTTTTTTTTTGTTTGGCTCTTTTTTGTTGGGGGGGTATATTTGTTTTTTTACTTTTGTTTGTTTTCTGGCACTACCATTACAGACCTTCATGCAGTCATTGTGCTTTATACTTGTGCATTTGTTGTAATGCATACACTGGAAGAAGTTGTGCTATTATCAGCATTTATATAGATTTTGGGCTAATAGTAATGACWCCATCCTCTATCTGGCCTTTCTTTCATTTTATTGAGCTGCCATAGACTTTTTAAGAAGATGAATCATTGCTGGAATTTGAGAGTTCTCAGATGTATTTGCAACTTCAATACTGTGGGTCTTTCCTGTTAACTTGTACCTCATAGAATCACTATCATTAACCAAAATCAGTRTTTGACTTAGATCAGAATTTTTGGAAACTATACTATTGTTTATTTTAAACAAATTAAAAGATAGTACATAATGACGAATGACATTCATTAGAGGCTGTCCAAAGATGCTGTGTGCTCCATTTTTTCTTTAGTTGAGGGACATCCAAAATCAATGGCCAAAAATTGAAACCATTTTGTTATTAATATTGGRCATGTCTGTTTTATCACCCGAAAGTAAATGCACATTCATACTGTCAAGTAATGTAATAAGCTGAGAAGTTTGCCATTAGGTTCTTGTTGATTAATCTTTTATGAGTTATCTGGTACAAAGGCTTTATTGATTTTTCTGTACTGCTACAAATATATGCTTCATTAAAAGTCAAAATTTTCCCCCTTTGGTTTGCATCCAGTGCAATTTAAAATTTCAATGTACATTTAAATGATTGCAGCTTGCATTTGGTTTAGAAATAAAAAATTATATTTAGGCATATCACACCAAAGTTATCCACATAATTCTAGCTTCTCCAAGGTCACTTAAAAGGTTTAAGAATTTTTTAATGAACTCTACAATTCTACAAGGAGATTCTGCCATTTTTTCCCCATGTCCTTCATGTATCTCAATAGAAGTTGCTATAATAAAAGTTTTGGGTTTTTCTTCCCATAATCTTGGGAAAGTAAATGTGAAAAATGTGACTTAGTTTGATGCAAGAACCAATTAGTGTTTCAATTCAGCAAATTATTTTATTCAGAGGTTCCTCTATAATTTAGATGTTGTCTAGCAGATTCTAGATAAGAAATTGGCTTTTCCTGGGGGAGGAGGAGGAAGTATGTTTGGACTTGTGCAGTATTTTGGTTAGTCTGTTTTTCCTACTGAACTGAGTTGTATTTTCAGCTCTATTATAGAGCTAGTTGGCGTTGTTTTGTTTCAAAATAAAAAACTGAGGCAAACCCTTTTTTGGCGCATGAAGGTGTCTCCCAAGGATCTCAACCTTGGTCTCACTGAAGTTGTTGAAAAAGCTACGGTTGAAATCATAGGAGGATTGATCTCTCAGCTAGYATGAACATGAGTTCTATCTCTGAGAAGCCATCTCCTAGTTACTAAAATTTTAATGTACTTAATATTAAAACAGGAGAAAATYGATTGCCTCAAACTGTATGCAAGGCAGATGCAGAAATAAAAAGAGATTAGTTKTGGGGAGGGTTTGAGAGAGGAAACATTCAGATAATAAATAATTCCCATTCCAACAGAGGGGCACTGCAGCTCTCTTTTGCTCTGTTTCAAGTCACATTCCTGGGAGTGTGTTAAGCTTCTCCAATCATTCTGCTTAGTTTCTACTCCACCTCTTGGATGTACTTTCTTCCAGAAATGACTGGCTGCACACAGACACACCTGTATTTGGTTCATTATCTTAAGCAATTGCGGTTTTGCCACTGATGTGTTTWGTAGATAAGTTTAAAAAATGCTATTTATTTAGCTGATAATTGTAACCCTGGAAACAGGATCTGTTTGTTTCATTGTGAGCCAGGCTGCATTGAAAAGTTACCCTTAGGCACTGACAGCTGAAAATTTCTAGGGCTAGAACTGTGGTACAGTTCTGAGACAGCTGTTCTTCAACATTTCTTCAGTGGGCATATGTATGTAAATGGAGCCTATAGCAAAAATGCRCCAGTATTTTGTCTCTCACTTGAACTTGGGTTAAGTATTTGCTTTTATTTTAAATCTATTGAGTCAGGGTTTTTGGCAATAAGTATGAACTGTGCAAAAGTTGTGACTGATCATATCCTAGAGCCCTATACTGAGACACTGACTACTGCCTTATCTCAAAAGATCATGGGTTTGTAGGTACCTTTCTCTTAATATCTTTAGGATAAATGGTTTGGCCACTGCTGACATGTATGCTCCTGTTAACTCAAGCATGTTTTCTCCTTACCCTTCTTATGTGACTTTTCTAGTTTTTTTTTTTTTTTAAACTGTCACTTGGAAACTCAGCATAGTTACAATGTGTGAATCTGTCTGTGACTTTGCCCAAGCCTTGCATGGCACAAAAAGATCAGGAAATACAGCCAGACCTATATATTTCTATGCCTATATATTTGGCCTGTCTCTTGACAGAGTAAAGGCAGGCTTCTTTATTTTGGTGCAGTTTCTTCAAAAGTCTCTCCAGGAGCTACAACTCTCTCATTATTTAGTGACTATAAGAAAGTTGGCACTTTTGTGTGTGTAAGCTCATGCAGATGGCATCAATACACCAATATACTTCTTTAAATCAAAGGATCATCTAACCTTTAGAAAGAGATCCATTGACTTTTCTCAATTTTGCTTTGTTTGGTGGGATAAGTAAATTCCTAGTTTTAAGTAAAATAAATTTTTATTGCTTACAGTATTTCATTGTTATAAACACCATAAAAATGAAATCTGTAGCTTTTAATAGGTTCAAATATTTGTGAACTCAAAATCTGGAAAGGAATTTCATATTTTAGTTTCTGAGGAGATCAGGTCTGTGCTTACTGCATTTGCTGGCAGAAATCCCACTTGAGTCCTAGTAAAACATTCATGCCAACTGCGTGGGAATATCTATATGTGTCTTAAAAATAATTACACATTGAAATAACCTTGCTGACTTCGCCTCTAAATACTTACAGAATCCCAGTGACATGTTTTATGGTAGTGCAGAGGTGGAGAGGGAACAACCCTCTCCACAACGTCTAACTGTTGCTCTTGCAATTCTAAGGCATTGGTAGCCATAGGGAAGAATTTAACAATAAGCTGTAGTATAAATTTGCCATTAGTTTTCTCAGTAGCCAGGATTTTTAAAAACACCAAAAAGAAGATACCTGGAAGGAGGTGGCTTATGCTGGGTGCCAGTTTCAATCCCAATTTTACACAGCAGCAAATGGGATGTTTCGCTTCACTACCTAAACCTTCTAATATGTGTGAGTCAAATGCTTTTTCTTCTGTGAGTCAATAGGAATAGTTGATAGGTTTTGATTATGGCAGGTCTGCTCTGATCTCTGTTTTCTGGCTGACTTATCAAACTGTTGAGAGGCCAAAGGCAACACTGGTGTTTAATTACAAGCAACACTGATTGTGGACATAAGAAAGAAGCGGTAGCAGGAAACCTGTAAGCTGTCAACCACAGAAACAGGAAAGAATCTTCTGCATAGAAACAGAATCAGTGACTGGCATGAATGTAGGAAATTAAGATGCTCCTTAAATGGATTAGTAGGAAAACCTGGAAGAGGAAAAAAAGGAAAATAATCAAGGGGTAAGAAAATATTGGAGTAGAAGAAAGAGATAAAGATATACCCTAAGWGCAATTCCTCCACATGTTTAGCTATGAGCTGTTACCTGTGGGTAACAGCCTATTTATGTAGGGTGGGGTTTAAGATGGTAAAGAGAATGGGTTTGTCCTTCTCTTTYCCTCCCTACCAGAGCTGCAGGCATCAGTTCTCACTTAAAGAACTAAAACTGTGTCTACTTCCTTGAGCTGATCTAGGGTTACTGGTTCGCTTTCTGGAGTACTGTGATTTTTGCATGACTTGAATACTCTCCATTGCAAAAATGAAAAAAAATGATCTTAAACCTTAAGAATAGAATTTTGAAATTTATAATCTTAATTTACATTGCAAATACTCATCATATTCAGGAGGTTTTGGGTTTTTTTTTTTTGTTTGTTTGAGTCATTTTTCATGTTTTAATACAACAGGTAAGATGTAACATTCTCAGTCCTGACATCTCTCATTGCGAAAATTGTTCTTGTCAAGGGTCAAAGCAACACTGTAATGCATCACCAGTCTTCAGCTTTTTGTTTTTTTTTTTATGGCAAAGGACTTGGGAAAAAAAAAAAAAAAAAGAGGAAGGGGAGCTTAATGAAACTGTGAGATGGCAACTATGCCTCTAAGCCTAAAGATTTTTTGGTGAGATCCATTTCCCACTCCATATTCTGTCTGTGAATAGAAGCTGAAAAGTATTGATCTGTTTTGATTGCTATATGAATTTTTGCATGGTAGTATTTATATACTGGTGTTAGCTGATGTTATACACCATTCATTATCTGATATCCCCTGTTTAGGCAGATATTGAAGAATATTTTTGGCTGTATTTTATTTCAGACTTGCTCATCTGCAACTGCTAAATGACCAGCTGCAGTGAAAGCTTTCAGACACAGATGAAAGATAATAATCTTTGCTGGTTGCTAATATATTTGCCCAGATGAAGTATGTGAAATTGCTATTTAAGTGGCAACCTTCCCAGAATTGATTAACTGYAGTAACAAGGTCAGCTTGGAGGTTTTCTGAAAAATGTGACCTGTTGATTTATTTAAGGGTTTCCTGCAGACCTCACAGCACCAACTGAGCATTTGAGCTCTGTAGCAGT